CATGCAGAGATTCATCCTTCTTCCTCTTTGTAGAATGAGACAACTGTTCACTTTCTACATTTCACTATAGAAAGAGCATTTATGCCTTGCCTTAGATATGGTTTTTTGGCAAACCACCACTCACCTGCTCCAGGTATTATAACCAATCCCAAAATCATCCCTGTTACACACATGCCCTCTTTCCACATCATCCATGGGGGGGAGGCCACCAAAAACACTGGTGAGATGCTGAAGGTGCTGTAGTGGGTTGACCCTGGCTGGATACCAGGTACCCACTAAAGCCACTCTCTCCCTCCCCTCTGCAACTGGACAGAGGAGAGGAGAAAAACAACAAAGGATTCCAGAGTTGAGATGACAGCTGGGAGAGGTCACTGACTGATCACCATCATGGGCAAAACAGATTCTGAGTGGGGATATTAATAAAATTTATGACCAGCAGGATCAGAGGAAGAGAGCGAGAAGCAAAATAATCTTAAAAACTTCCTCCCACCCCTCCTTCCTTCCATGTGTTCCTTTATATGCTCCTAAATACTGAGCAGGGAATATTTATTGGGGGATACTTTTATGAGGAATGTTTATTTCAGCTCCAAGTTTAATTCCCTGCACAAGAACAGCAGCGAGTTCAGAGCAACAGGTTTCATCCCCTTCCCAGGAGGAGAGCAGGGCAGGGAACCTCCCAGCATGTTTTTGTGTTTTAATCCTTTCAAGTGGCCTGAAACCCCAAATCAAAGCAGCCTCAAATGCACAGTGCTCTATTCCCCTTGGACATCACTTCCTGATTTCACAGGTTGGGCAGCTGGAGTTAATAAATGGTTCTACTGCTTTGTTCCCTTCCCTGCTTGTTTTTGGAATAATTATGTATTTACCTACTCTGAGGGTGATGGATCCAGAATCCCTGTTTATCCTCTGACTGTTATCACAGGGCTTATCTCCTGGTGCTCTCCCTTCTCCTGTGCTTCCCCATCCCAGCCAGCAGTGGAGGTTAAAGACAAATAGGAAGGGATTTCTAGGAAACGTTACTTTTTTTTGCCCAGGTCTGGATTTCAGGCTCTGTGAACTGAAATCAGGATGTCTGGGGCAGTAAACAAAGGTTCATGGAAAACATGATGGTCTTGTACAAACTGCACTGAATCTCCTCAAGCACGACAAACACTTCATTTAAAAACTATGGAGCAAATCTAAAACTTTTTAGAAAATTCCAACTAAGTTTCCCCCAGTTTTAATTTTTTTTTCTCCTGTGGAGCAAGAAGCAAATACCACTGGAAGCCAAACATGAAGCCAGGAATTCAAACAAGTGATACTGCCCAGAAAAGTTGTATGAACATAATCAGGAGGAATTTAACTTTCAGTTACATACTTAATAAATACTAGATATTATTAACTTTTAATTAGATACCTAATTAAGCCATTAGACAGTGATCAAAAAGGTAAAGCAAGAGAGAACCCCCTGCAAGACCTGAGGTAAAAAACTTCACACTCAGAAGACAAAATAAAACCCATCAGAATTTTCTCTGGAGGCAGCAGTGTTTAAGCCAGTTCAGAGCATCCCCTGGAAAACTGGATGAGTCTGGAAGTGTTTGCATCCCTAGGGCTCATTAAATACACCCAAACTTCTTGCTCTCCAGGAACACACCGCTCAGGTGTTGCAGTAACTTCCACGGGATCCTGTGTGTGCAGCTCTGCTGTCCCAAAGGTTGTCCCAGAAAGGCACATCCCATATAACCCCTTCCTTTATTTACTGTCTTGAGGAATTCCTATTTGGCACCTCCTCAGACTTCTTTCCCTCTAATAAAAAAATCAACTTGTTGTGATCTAGCTGAAGGTGTCCCTGCTCATTGCAGGGGGGTTGGACTAGATGTCCTTTTGAGGTCCCTTCCAACCCAAAATATTCTGTGAGTTGATGATTTTAACTCCTAAAAATCTTCAGGAGCACTGTCAGGAGCCTCTCCATGCTGCCTGTGGAGGAAGCAATGAATGCTGCATCTCCCACTTCCCAGAGGAGCCACAGGTTTTCCAGGAGCCAAGGATTAATCCCTGCACGTGGGGAGTGCAGAGGTGAATGTGCTCTTTCTGTACCCTTCTGTTTACCAGTTATTGCAGCTTTTTTTTTGCATCTGACCCTCTGATAAATGCAGGACAGATTTGCACCGACTCCACTCTTCAACACACAGACTTTGAAACGGGTTATTTTCCTACTCTCAACTTGAAAATAACAACTCCAAGCCTGCCTTTTGTCAAAATTCAACACTTTAACTCTTACAGAGAAGTGAAACTCGGGTTTTTTAATTTTTTAGATGGCTTTAGTGGCATCAGCAAAGCAGGAGGAGGAGAGTGGAGGGAGTGATTATCATCTGGGAAGACCCAGTGATCAATCTGCAGCTCTTCACCTGCAGCCAAAGTACATCCGTGATGAGAATCAAAATCCACACACACCCAGAAAAGCTGAATAGTTTTGCTCCTTCACCTCTTAAACATTTTGTCACGAAGCTTAAAATTTGTCAGAGAACATGAGCTGGAAGGGGCAGCTCCCCTGCATTCAGTGTAACACTGTATTAAATAATCAGGAAAAAAAAAATTGATCACCAAACAAAAGCTCTGCATGAAAACGCCCTGAGGAGAATTTTTCTATTTCTAAATCAATTTCTCCTTAAAAAAAAAAAAAAAAAAAGAAGAAAAAAAGAGAGAAATATGAGGCTCCTTACCTGATGTTGTGTTCTCCATCAGGACTAGGTGCCCCCCAGCTCTGGGGTGTCCGAGCTCCTGGTCCCTTTGCAGCCCCGGCGAGGGCTCAGCGCTGTAGCCCAGCCCGGTGGCCATGCCCCTCTCCAGACGTCACAGCCCTGTCCCAGGGGTGTGAACGCTTCCAAAACTTCTGGAGTGATGACCCAGCCATGGAGCAATCCCTACAACCTGCTGGCCCGGAGCCTGGAGATGTTTACACACCAGAGTTTACAGGACTTAACACGACTCGTGCGTCGCGCGTGCGATACAACAGCGACGTTTCCACCAGGGAGGAGAGTTGGGGTTCACCCTGAGGTGGGGTGAACAGGAGCTCCTGAGTGCTGGCAGAGACACCTCCTCACTGCCCCAGCTTCTCCAGAGGGAAAATTCTGCTGCCTTCTCCCCCTCTTGCTCAAAGGCTGACTCAGCAAATGCTCCTTCCTCTGCCGAGGTGAATCCTGCCTTCCAGGACCAAGGGGATTTCAGTTCTTGTTCCTCCTTTCCTCGTTGTTTTTCGTAATTTTTGAATTTTTTTTTCCCTGTTTCCACTCCTTTTAATTGCTTTTCCAGCAGCTGCTACACAGCTGGAATCAGGATGGAATGTGTTGGGCTTTTACAAAACATCTTTCCAGTGGACCTGCATTCAAAACAGGGAGGTGAGGAAATCAGATAAGCCAGGAAATCCAAATGAGCTGGAAGGGTGTATGGCCACACGATAACTCAACCAGTTAAATTAATTTGACTGTCCTAGAATTTCAACAGCTTGAGAACTGTGCATCTAATTTGCAGAGCTGACCCAAACAAGAGCTGTCTGGTTGTTGCTTAACAAAAGTCTGTAGCTCTGCTGCAGCTGCTGATTTACTCATTTTCAAGGAATGAGCTCATTTAGGAGAGTGTTTTCGAGCATCACTTCCCATTGGGCAACAAGTGGGAAATGGGGAAGGCTCCTCGTGACTGCAAAAAGCCCTTCTGAGATGCACTTCACTAAAAAACAGCACGTTTCTGACCATGCCCACAGTGTGCTGGCAGCACCCAGCCCTGGGGAGCCCTGGCATGACTGCACATCAGCTACAGAAAAGGCTTTTCAACATAAAAATAACACCTGCTCCAAAGTGTTTCTTGGGGTTTCCCACCCTGGGCACTGGGAATGGCTCTGCTGCTGGACCCCAGTCCAAGGCAAACCCTCAGGGCTTCACTGAAAAGCAGCAGGAGAACACACAAAATACCATTAATTAAATCCCCAAGCAGATGCTCCACAGGATTTCTGAGAAGGGGACTTGGGACCATCCTTTATATCTGCCAGGAGGAGTGGAAGGGCTGGGAATGGAGCCAGACCCTTCCAGAGGGACACACCAAGCAGTGCATTGCAGGAAAAAGGAACAGCGAGAGCTCCGGGAAACCCTTATCAAAGAGAAATTCTGCATGTTAAATCAGGGACTTTCTGAAGGTCTCTTAAAGGCAGCATTATAAGGGAATGAATTAATTTTACAGCTTTTTTTTAAAAAAAATACATGGCACACTGCCCCTACACACTATGAAAGACAAACAAGTACGAAATTCTGGGAACTGTCACCAAAATGAGATTAGATTTCTTTGGGGTTATTTTCCTCTCCAGTGATGGGTCTGGAGAGCACAAACCTCTTTCAGTTTGCTACACCCTTCACTGACCCACAGGGCTGGAGGTGACCTCCTCCTCCTCTTCCTCCTCCTCAGCAGGGTCACTCTGGGGAGCCAGCAGTCCCAGAGGACATCCAAGGAGCAGACAGTGTCCTCCATCCCTGCAGACCACATTTCCATGTCCCACCTTCAGCCAAACATCCTTGTTTCCCTGGCCCTCACCCCAGAGCCAGCACCCACCCAGCCACCCACCCACCCAGCGAGCTCGCCCGGGGCACAGCTCCAACCAGAAAAATGAACTATTTTTTATTCAGAGGGGTTAATTTTCCAGTGGCTGGAGGTGATTCATCCCTGCAGATGCAGGACGTGCCGTGCCAGGAGCGCACAGCTGCCGGGGGGGCACTTCCAGCCCCAAGTTGGGCTGAATCAATTCGGCTGCAAAACGGGAGACAACCGTGGGAGGTCGAATCCCAAGTGTTGCAATCCTGAAAAATTCCCCAAATTCAGCTAAGAATACACAGTCTGCCCTCCCAGCCAAGCCAAGCTTTGGGGCCCCCCACGCTCTGCCTGAGCCCACTCACCTGAAGCCCAAGAACAGCCAAAGCTTTTGAAGACAACCCCTTTGTTTCTGGCAAAACACACACATGACAGAAAGCCGAGCGTTTAACAATCCAACCCATCTTTATTTCGCTATTACTTTCTGCAGGGAAAGGAAAATCCTCACCTTTACAAGTACAGCCAAGTGGTAAAAGAAAGGCAAGTGTATAAAATGAACTGCACGTGGTTCAACACCAGGAGGAGCATCAGAAACGTGGCACCTTTAGGCCCAACACCTTCTGCTTCTGCTACCAAAGTTCTGGATGTTGGCTATGCAATAGACTTCACTCACTATACAGAGATATTTTTAAATAAGGACTTTTCTCGGGAGTGTAAATAGAAATCAAGACACATTAAATTCTCCATAGAAAAATACAACCTTGTAACAACACCACAAAGTAAACATGTTTCCCAAGCTTTGGATGCATCAGCTACTATCTCACAACAACCCTGCAAGATAACTAAAACCATCACACCTGGGAATGGTGACCCAAACGGGGTGGATTTGCCCCAAATCCAGCTGCCTTGGCTCCAGTTTATCTCCTACAGCACACGCTGTGTGTGTTGTACACCCGGGACTTGGCATGTCACTGATAACAGCTGAACAAAGGGACTCAAAAGCACAGCAGCAAAGCTCTTGTGTTTCCAGGGGATTCTCTGGTTTAATTTTGCATGGGTTTCCCCCCTGTCCTGGCAATTACAGCCATTGTGTGAGGCTTTGAAACACTTCTGACACAACACACTAGGAAGACAGTGATGTTTGGAGGTGGCATCTTACCCCCCACTGACACACGATGTCACCATGCCAAAAAGATCCCACCCAAACGCACAGTCACTTAAATGAGCCAAAAATCTTTGTCCACGTAGCTGCACAAACACAGTGCCACCATCCCCTGGGTTCCTCCAGGATAAACAACAGCACCAAACCGAGCTCATCTGGCTGCTAACCCAAGTTTTCATATGATCCATTTGAAAAGTTAGATACTATGGAACTATCTGAAACAGGATGTTGTCACCCAGGCAGTACAGAACTATTTTACAGGCTACTAACTCTAAGTTAAAGGATAAAACGAAAAGAAGACACCAAGGCTCACAGGTCACACTGGGCTTCCATAAGTTCACGTGACAAGAACGTGCTGTGCACTGATGGACTGATGTGACACTTGGCTGACACACCACTTACAAAGTAAGAAATGTGGGACTTGGAAAAGACACACTGAACTTGTACCTACCTACGTGGGAAAGTACCACCAGACAAAATCCTGGGTCCCACCTTTGCTCCAAATAAAGGAAAATGCTCAGGCTGGGGGGCCGGGGGCTAAATAAACAAAACACCCGAATTTGGGGCATTTTCTTCTCTGACAGGGAAGATTCACCCCTAGAAGGTTCCACTGGAGCTGCAGTTCAGAGGCTGGTGCTTTAATGCCACCCTTTACCTCTGTTTCACTTCCAGGGCTCACCAAAACAGGCAGAACCACAGGCTGTGGTTGCCTGGGGAAGAAATGGCATGTCCAAGCTTTCAGCAGTGCTTGGGCTGGTTTTTAACCACAAAACCAAAGCTGCACATTCATATGCAATGCACAGGCACAAAAGAAGAGGTACATAAAGAGCTCACATCTCCCTAACAGTGGACTAAGAAACTAATCAAAACAGGTTTTGGCTCAACACAATGATAAACCATTATCAGACACGTTACACACATTATTGCCTGATAATTACAAACAGCTGGGACAACTCCACCTTAACCCAGTTTTTTGAGTTTTCACAAGAAAAACAAAAGATCTTTTCTAACTTTACTGTGAACAGACATAAATGATATGACTTATGAAGCCAACATCTCAATATAAACACATCTCTGTACCTGTTCATTGCAGAGCACAACAAAATGGGAGCAACCTTTAATTTCACCTTATAAAACTAAAAAAAAAAAAAAAAAGATGATATCTTCGTGTAGAAAAAACAAAAAAATATTTTCAGCATACATCTGTCATCTCTTAGGCTGAAGGATCACCTATCCTACTCCTCTCAGTGCTTCTGTGCAAACCAAAAGGCACCATTCCTGCGGGTGAGGCTGTGAATTGGGATCATTTGAGCTTGGTTTTCACAAAGGTCAGTGACAAATTGCCAGGTCAGGAAGAAGCAAGTGTCCCTGTGTTACTGACTGCTACCCCGACAGAGAGGGATTAGGAAACACTGGTACGTGTACTTACGAATCCACTGGCAAGGAGAAGGAAAACATCTCCAAAGGACTGTGTCTGAGAGCAGCTGGCAGGACACATGTTGTTACACCCAAGGAAAGAATCAGGCTGTTTTTAATGAACACAAGGAATACTCACATCTCTGCAAATCCCGTGACTTACACAGTTATGTCTTTGTACTTTCCCCAGGCGGGGGAAGGAACAGATCCCCTCTGTGCACCCCCTGCCACCCCCAGCGCATGCAGGACAAACACCAGTGCCACCCACAACGGCAGCAGGGCTCAGCCACAGCTGCCAACCTGCAGGAGAAACGAATGGAAGTGCCAACAAGTGCCATGTTATGCCTGTAAAATGAACATTTTCACGTTGGTCGGACGCCAAGCCCAGCTCGCGGTGGAATTCAGGACCCTCTCTGCAGTGATGCAACTACTCTGGAGTGGGTTTTTTGGGAATTCAGGACTCTCTCTGCAGTGATGCAACTACTCTGGAGTGGTTTTTTTGGGAATTCAGGACCCTCTCTGCAGTGATGCAGTTACTCTGGAGTGGGTTTTTTGGGAATTCAGGACCCTCTCTGCAGTGATGCAGTTACTCTGGAGTGGGTTTTTTGGGAATTCAGGACCCTCTCTGCAGTGATGCAGTTAGTCTGGAGTGGTTTCCCCCCCTCTCTTCTAAGCAGGTGCATCTTCAAAGCATAAGCAGGGATGGATGAGCTGGTGGAGGAGCAGGACCTTGCAGGGCTGTGTCTGCAGGGCATCTCGTGGGACAGGCAGCAGTGCCCAGCTGAGGGCACAGGGCACAGCAGGACCCTGTGAACCAGCCCCACAGGGAAGGATGCTCCAGTGGCACCTGGCTTTGCTCAGATGCAGGGTCTCCATTAAGACAGCCCAACCTCTGGCACCCACCAGGCATGGGAGGGCTGAGGGAAGGCAGGTGGGAGCTCCTGCACCAGCCACCAACACCAGGAGATGACCAGTGTCCTCTTGGCCAACACAGACCAGGGAACAGCGAGGGGAGGAGGAATTCCAGGTCAGCTGGGGACGCTCACACCGCGACTGTGGCGTTATTCCTAAGGCCAGGATGGTGGGACACGCTCAGGGCTTCCAAACACAGTTCTCCCTGTCTTTCCCAGCTCCAGTGTTTTCCAGGCACGTGCCCCAGCGTTTGTGTAGAGGACCACTGCTGGCACCAACAGCAGCTTCTGAGCAGATCTGGACACGAGGAGCTCAGAAGATGACTCGGTCCTCCTGTGTCCTCTCCCACCACAACGTGCTGTTCAGGGTGCCAAAGCTGCTGTCCTCCTCCTCCTGCTCTTTAGCAAGCTCCACAAACACCTGGAACACATGGAGAGGACATGGATGCCCCGTGCTCCTCATAGGAACATTCTCAGTCACAAATACAACTCATGCTAAAAACCTCAGGAGCATTGAAAGCATCGCTTCATCTCCAAGTTTTCAGTATTTTGGGGGGTTTCTCCTTGCTTGTACCCTCCCACCTTGTTTCTTTAGAAGCACAGTGAAAAGGAAGTTGAACATTCTGAAGGACATTTATCATCAGCAATAATTAATCAAGAATAAGCAATAACAAGCCTCAGCTTCACCCTCCTTTCAGCCATGAACAGCGACGCTCGACCTCGGAATAAATCAGAGCAGCTTTCCCATTAATGCCACAAATTTATTTTCCTCCAGTCACTGCAGCTGGCATCTTATTTTTAAAGGAGAAAATGGGAATAAAGAGGAGAGGGGGAACTGGCAATTCCTATTCACTTTGGAAAAAGGGGAACTCAGTTTCCCAAAAATACCCACACAGGCATCAGCAAAGTGGCCCCAGTGCCTTGAAAGCCAGGCATGGGGGATGAGCTGCCTGCACAGGGCCCTTCACCACAGAATCATGGAATGGTTTGGGTGGGAAGGGACCTTAAAGCTCATCCCATTCCACCCCCTGCCATGGGCAGGGACACCTTCCACTAGCCCAGGTTGCTCCAAGCCCTGTCCAACGTGGCCTTGGACACTTCCAGGGATGGGGCAGCCACAGCTTCTCTGGGCAACCTGTGCCAGTGTCCCACTATCCTCATAGGGAAGAACTTCTTCCCAACATCCAGTCAACCCTTCCCTCTGTCTGACACCTTCACCTGGCAGGGTTTACTTCCACAAAATATCATTTAACATACCTGTTCCAGTGTTGCCTGAGAGAAGCTGTAATCCTCGATGTTAAAGGTGTGTTTTACTGTGGAAAGAATTAGTAAGAGCAGATTTAGGGGTACTTCACTATCTCACACAACTGGATTTTAAGCTGGTACAAGTGCTTACTCATGATTTCACAAGAAACAGAGTTGGGGACAACAATGATAAAAGAAAAGTAAATTAAATAAATGTGGAACAGAAATGGAGCAGCAACACTGCATGGCAAAAGTGTCACTTATAGGAGACAAAAGGATTTCTGTATGTGAACTATGGCAAGTGCTTAATTACCTTCTTCCAGCTTGGAAAAAGAATGTGAAAGCGACTGTACATCTTCTTTAGGAATTTTATAGGCCAAAATAGAAGCAAAACTGGAACAAAGAGACAAAACTAATTTAGCTTCAAGCAAAATCATTCCAAGTAAAAATATTAATATCCAACTGAATGGATTTAAACCCATTCTCTGAGTGTTCCTTTGGGCATTTTGACTCATCATGATCATAAAGACAGGAGGAATGATGCAGCTCCAGCTGGTTTTTCACCTCAGAGATGCAGGTCCAAGTGTACCAGCTGAGATCCCCAGAGACTGTTCTATGACTTACATGCTCTTCAACTTTTCAACCATTCCTATTCTGCTTACTCATGGAAGGTTCGCTGCCTGGAAGTCTCAAAGTTCTGAGGGTTTTTCCTTTGAAATGAGCTTAGAGGTCACAGCATCTCCTGGGACTTTGCACCATGCAGCAGTTCCCACAACTCAGATTCCAGGACAGGGAGCTGCTCTGCCCCACACATCTGCTGCTGAAAAGGGAACCTTCCCCCTTCCAGATCCCCCACATTTGAGGAACACTCCTTATATGATGCCTGCAGTGCACTTTTTGGACAGACTTGTCAGCAGTCACCCTTGGGTTCATACGGCAAAAGTTCAAAGAAAGCTGCTGGTGGAAAACCAACCAGCCCACCCTCAAACTCTGAGATGCCCCAGAGAACACTCAGGCTTTTCTAGGTAAGGGCCAGTGACTCTGCTTTTCCCCAGTTCCCAGAGGCCCTGACCAAGGAGGAAGTTGTCAGGCAACAGCTATGCAGAAATGGAGTTTTGCTTCCCCCGTGCCGAACATCTGCGCGGGCTCCCGGCCCTGCCCTGGCAGCCTGGGCTCTGCTGGCTCCCAAAACCCTTCCTCTTTTTCGCTGTGTGTAAATATTTACATTCCCTACCCGGTGCCAAGTTGCTGCTGAGAAATCAGAGGCTTTTATTAACATCATTTGCTGCGTGTTTGTCAAACTTCACCTTTCCTGGCGGTTGGCGTTGGGGAAGATGTGCAAAATCTGGCTCTGCAGATACTCCACCTGCTGCACATCTGCTGTTTCTTTTAGTTTCATCTCCAAGAAGTATCCTCTGCCAAACTTACTCTTCAGGTGTTGGACAGTACCTATACATCTGGCAGTTGCAGAGAGAAAATACCAGTTGTACACGTCAGACCACACTCAAGGAGCAGCTGAACTTCAAACAGACCCTTCTGGCAGTTTAAGATTAATTTTGTTCCGGATTTAAGGTACAAAAAAAATTGTCTATCTGTATTTTCAAAGGAATATATTTTGGCTGACAGCTGTCCTGTCCCCCCTGCCCCAGGGGAGGCTCTGGTGGTACCTGAGCTGCCCAGACACCAGGATGGCCACACGGTCACACACAGCATCTGCCTCCTCCATGTAGTGGGTGGTCAGGATTGCTGCTCTCTCCTTGTTTTTGAAGGCTGCTCGAATTGCCCTCCTACAAAACACAGCCAAAAAACATCCTTGAACAAAACACTCAGCAGGTAACAGTAATTCCTGGGTTAGCAGGAAAAGAAGGCTGTGATGGTCCAACACAAACCCTCTATCTATGGACTGACACTACTCCCACAGCAACAATTAAAACCTGAATTTTCCAAAGATGACTCAAATCTGTACTCCTTGTATTATTTTAAGGATTTCTTTCAGCTTTCAAGCTTTTAATCCCCAAGCTGTTCTGGAGGAGGACACAGACACAGTGCACCTGGCACTGAGGTTGGGTGGATTCTCCCCCTCTTGTGAGACCCCACTCAGATCACTGTGTCCAGCTCTGGGGCTCCCAACACAGGAGGATGTGGAGCTTCTGGAGCAAGTCAGGGGAGGCCATGGAGATGCTCTGAGGGCTGAATACCACTGGTAGGAAGACAGGCTGGGAGAGCTGGGGGTGTTCACCTGGAGAAAAGAAGGCTCCAGGGAGACCTTAAAGCACCTCCCAGTGCCTAAAGGGGATCCAGGAGAGCTAGAGAGGGACTTTGGACAAGGGCCTGGAGTGCCAGGACAAAGGGGAATGTTTTTAAACTGCCAGAGGGCAGGTTAGAGCAGATACTAGAAGAGATTCTTCCCTGGGAGGATGGGGAGGCCCTGACACAGGTTGCCCAGAGAAGCTGTGGCTGCCCCATCCCTGGAAGTGTCCAAGGCCAGGTTGGATGGGGCTTGGAGCAACCTGGGATAGCGGGAGGTGTCCCTGCCCAAGGCAGGGGGTGGAACTGGCCGAGCTTTAAGGTCCCTTCCCACCCAAACCATTCTGTGACTCCCTGTCTATGGCTCTCCCTAGTGTTAACATGGATAAGGCACACAAATTCAGGCACATTCCCAAGGAGGAAGCACCCTGTGGCCAGCCTGGCCCTGGGGGCACTCACCACATGTGCTGCTTGGCTTTGGGATCCATCCCGGTGGACGGCTCATCCAGCAGTGTGACCCGGGGGTTTCCCAGCATACTGAGGGCAAAGCAGAGCTGGCAGGGAGGCAAAGGGGCAGGGTGAGGACAGGGTGGTGCTGCTGACCCCGAGCACAGGCACCCAAACAGCCCCCATACCTTGCGTTTCAGCCCCACACCCAACTTCTTCGTTGTCTTCTGGAGGTGATCCTTCAAATCCAGGGCGCTCGCGATGCTGCGGAAGGGGAAGGACCAGAGAAAGGGTGATGGTTCAGCTTCCCCCTCATCCCAGTGTGCAAACAGCCCCGTTTGAAAAGCTCAGTTACAAATATTTGTATAGAAAGTACAAAAAAAAAGCAGAGCAAGAAGCAGAATGGGAGGTGGGCGCTTCCGTACAAAAGCCACCTTCCCCATGTCCTGGAGGAGGACAACCCAGAAACAGCTCCAAGCCTGGCACTCCCTGCCCTTGCAGCTTCTCCAAAGGTCATTTGTTAGCATTTCCTAACTTTAATAAAATAGATATAAAAATTAGAAATGCCAATTGAATTCTCTGTGACTGAACCTGTATCTCCTCACCTAAATATTCACACTTGCTGAGTTTGCTGGAAAGATCCAATTCAACTTAAATGAAAAAAAAAAAGAAATTGCACTTGGGGTGAAGAAAAAAACACCATAAAAGGGCCAAAACCCCTCCAGCAATAAACCTGAAAAAAACCTAAGAAAAATCCAGCTAAACCTCAAGGATTTCTAAAATGAACTACTCACCGTTTGACGACTTCCTTAACATCAGACTGACTCATTCCTTTGATAGCACCATAAATTTCAAAGTGCTCCTGCAGTGTAATATCTGGCCAGAGAGGGTTTGTCTGAGGACAGTACCCCACAAATTTCACGGAGTCATCTTCACTGCTCAGCCCCAAAGAATAATCTCCCATCAGAACCTGCGAGGAAAACGCACAGACCTCGCTCCAGAACATTACAGATTTCCAAACTGCACATTGCACTCAGGAATGCTCGAAATAACAATAATATTAATAAAATCTAAATAAAAGTTAATTTTTTATACAACTTGTAGCATGTAACATACTTGCCCACTGGTGGGTTCAATCTCCCCGACGAGCATATTAATTAACGTGCTTTTCCCAGCTCCATTGGGTCCCAACAAACCCAGTATTTCTCCTAAAGAAAGGATGACACAAACCATTGCCCACGAGGTCAGATAAACGGATCCAAGGGTTGTTTTTGTACATAGAACAGCTCAACAGCAAGTCACTGAACTCCAACCTTTTTTTACGCAGAGAGAAACATGTTTTGTTGCCACTTTCTTTATTTTTCTCCCCAGAAGAAATTCCTTCCTTTCATCAAACTCCTTGTGCAAGCTGCTGACCAGGATTGCTGGCATCTAGTAGGGGAGAGGGAAGTGGCTGCAGATCCCAGCAGCTCTGGGAAACCTCCAAATGTGGGGTTTGGGCAGTGCCCAGAGGTGTGCAGGACTTTACCTCCTCACTTTTGGGGCTGCTCAGGATCTCTTTGACTCTCAGTCTCTCTGCCCTCACATCTTCATCCTCGTTCTCCTCATGTGGCACATCTGGGAACTTCCAGGCTCTGGCTTTTGTAAAGCATTTTCTGAAGGGGAAGAACACAACACTGAGCTGAGGTTGGCTCAGGGCTTTGATGCTGAAAGCCATTTGTGTTTGCCAAGCCCAGGAGGGACAGATTCCTGCAGCTCATCTGAGAGCAGGAGGAGCTGTCAGGGACTGTCACCGTGTCACCTTTGTGCTGAGCTATTTGTTGGGTTATGGCATCTCTAGTCATGCAGTGGGAAAGGGTTAGTCCCTCTGTTTTATATAGGGAACACGCTTACAAAATTCCTGATTTTGCACTGAAATAACTTAAAAAGAAAAAAACCCCTATTTCTGCCCTTCTGTGCCTGAATTTCACACAACTGAAGTGAGGAAAACGAATTTTTCAGACACCTGGGATGGAATATAATGAAAGTTATTGTATTCCTTTCACTGCACACTCCTGTTTCACCACCAGCAGCACCTTTAAAAGCAGTTTCTTTGCACTATTGCTTTAAAATAATAAAAAAGGCTGTTTAAGAGACACACCTGAAAAAGGGATCCTCTCTGACCGTCCTCCCTCCGTTCTTCAGCTCGAAGCACCTCAGCAGGAAGAGCCACACGACACACTGCAAATAGGGCTGAAGCAGACAAACACTGGTTACTGGGAGCACTGCCAGCCCTCCAGGGCTGCTGACCCCAAAGGTGACCCCACCAGTGTGATGAGGGACGAGAAGCTCCAGCTCTGCACCACCACACAAGTGCTGGTGTTTCCAAGAATGTTAAATACATCACTAAACGCGTCTGAGGATGCATAATCAAAGTCTGCTCAGATTTAAGGGCAATTATTTGGGGGGTTTGGAGAGAGAAGGGATTGCCCCTGCTCTGGAGTACTTGCTCCATGAGCACAGACTCCCATAATAATCAGAATTAATGCTGGCAGTGTTACTCAGGCCACTGAGGCAGCAGATGTTGAGCTTTACTGACTCTGCTCGTGCTGCAACAGGCTGCAGGAGCTGCAGGCTCAGCAGTGCTGAGCACTAGATCAAATCTTTATTAACAGAGATGTGAACAGAAGGGGCTCCCAGCAGGAGCCAGCAATTCCCTAGGGCAAATAAGGCAGATAATGGAATTGCCATGCTCACAGCCAGAACTGCCACCAGCAGCCGGTCCCACGGGTCGTAGTATCCCCCACTCTTCCGTTTGCCTTTCCAGGAGACCTGAAAATTCAGGAAAAAACACACATAACCACCTACCAGAGGCTGTGTATCTAATCTCCAGCAGCTATTTAAGTTATGGTGCTCAAGCACTTTCAGAGCTCTGCTCTGATTGCACGAGTCTGACACCAATAAAACTCCATCCAAATCCCGGGGCCTGCTCCTGGTTTCAAGCCACCAACTCCCAAATCCCATCATGGGGTTTGCTCACTGAGAAACACATGGTTTTCCTTTGGATATCACGGAATCATGGAGTGGCTGGGTTGGAAGGTGCCCTAAAGATCATCTCATTCCCACCCCCTGCCATGGGCAGGGACATCTTCCACCAGCCCAGGTTGCTTCAAGCCGTGTCCAACCTGGCCTTGGACACTTCCAGGGATGGAGCAGCCACAGCTTCTTTGGGCAACCTGTGCCAGGGCCTCCCCATCCTCCCAGGGAGCAATTTCTTCCTAATATCTAATCTAAATCTATTCTCTTTCAATTTAAAAACATGCCCCCACATCCTGTCACTACACACTCTTGTAAAAAGTCCCTCTCCATCTTTCTTGTAGGTTCCCTTTGGGTACTGGAAAAAAATTTAATAGAAAACTTGCTGCTTTCCTCATTTTAAAACTGAAACACTTTGCTTAACAGGAAAAAGGTGGGGTTTTTCCCCCAGCAATTGCTATTCTTCACATGCTAAATGGCTACAGATGACACATTAAAAGATACCCACCCAATCCCAGCCAGCTACAAGTGCTCTGAAAAGGATCCCCTGTGCCCCCTTACCTTTATAAAACAAATCAGACAGCCAATAAGGGGATAAATAGGAATGAAGATGGAGAAGACATAATGCAGGATGGTGGTTACCACGTAATAGTCCAGAAAAAAGGCCACTTCAGTGACAACTGTGCAGAGCAAGGCTGTCTGTACAAAAGAAAAGGAAAAAAAGTCCATTTTCATCCAGTTCAGACTCTCTAAGCATAAGTTAACTAATTTGAGGCATATTTTTTAAAGCTTTTATCATTTAGGATGTGACAGGAAGACAGAGATGCTGGTAAATGTTTCACATTTCCTGTGCATTAAGGGCAGACAGTTAAATAAATTAACTGGGAAGCTGCTGTGGAGCTCACCAATCTTCCCTGTTATCCCAACTCAAGGTCAAGTTACTCACCACTGAAAATATAAATGACCAAAATTCTTTCGTGTTCTGGACTTTTCTAAAGGTGAAGGAGACCACGTAAGTGAAGAGCACAACTGAGGGGACGTAACCAATCAGGCAAAAAATCTGCAAACACAGGGAAGGTTTCTCAGGAATGTGAAGCAAGAATTTCTTGTTTAAGTATCAGCTGGAACGACTTTGGTGTGATACATAACTCTGAATTCATCTTTGTCACTTAATTTGATTTATTTTGCTGCCTTGGTACGTATATTATTAGAGACACAAATGTAAGAGTGTGAGGAGAGGCAGGAACCTCCCTCCTTTAAACTCTTCCCCATTTTTTTTATAACACAGGATCCCATAAATGCCGGCCTCAAGATTTTGGCAAATAGTAAGAATTCTACCTTGGCATTTGTGTAGAAATTAAAACAAAGGGAGAGAACCAGCCCTGCAGCACATCCCAAACCTGATTATCTCGGAGCTTCTGGGAAAGCAGCAAGGAAAAGCTGATTCCTCTCAATTACAGCCAATCTCACAGGGAAGCCCGCTCTGAATACCAAAGACACGAAGTCTTGTGGTGTCTTCAGTTGAATCACATGCTGCAGCTCACTGCAGAGATGGGCTGTGCTCAAAGTCACTGCGACCTTGTCATTAGCAGCGCGTTGATGCAAACAGAGCAATTATCAGTCACAGCAAAGAGCACAAAGCAGGCTGGGAAAAAAGGGAAAAAAAGGAAGGAGCGCTTCCTTGGAAAACGCTGGTATTTTAAAGCTTTATTACTCCAGCTCTGAATGAAACTCCACGATCTGAACAATTTTCCCCACAAAAAGTGTTTGCCTTTGGTGCAGCCTCAGCGCCGGCGGCTTTAATTGGGCGTTTTCCCCGTAAATCCATTGGAAAAATTCGGCTGAACCACCCAAGAAAAATAAACACTCGTAGAAAACAAAGTAACCAGGCTCTCCCTTCCCCACCACACTCACCACAGCCAGGAACTTGCCCACATAGAAATAAACCCCGTAGTGGAAGGCGAAGAGGCTCCCGATCATCAGGACGAGGATGGAGAAGAACAGCGGGAGGTCGACGACGGCTTGGCCCGTCCAGTAAGCAGAGGGATAGAGCCCTGCAATCTTCAGCTGTGTGTAGGCCTTGATCTGACATGGGAGAAGAAAACAGTGTTAATTGCACAGTAATTAAAATCAGTGCCATGTTAATCTGGCCCCGTGTTACCTGGTTACCGCCAATTTTAGCTTTTCCCAAACCTGCTCCACCCCAGGCAGCAAACAGCCATCCCATCCATGCTGCCTCTCAAGCACTATTTTTAAACCCTCTTCAAGTTTTCCCCCCCAGATTCCAAGATTTTTAACTTCTTGTGTGTCTCTGGTTCAACACCTGGGAGTCACCTTATGGTTTTCCGCGTTGTCCATGGCAAAATAGGGCGGCATTCCGGTGATGATGATCCCCAGCAACACGGCTTCGAAATAGATCTCCATCCTGAAAATTGTGTCTGGAAGATTCTGGAATATAAACCAGATTTCTTCAGTGCCAGAATGTGCAGGACCAAGACACCACCTTAAGCGTTGGAACGTGACTGTAAATGCTGAAATATAAATTCTGTCTATGGCAACATCACCTGAGCTGCAGCAGGAAGAGAAATACCTATGGAAAATTTGGGAGTATTTATATGAGGAATAAATAATAGCTAATGAACTTCTACAGCATTTATCTCCTGCTGCAGGTCATCTCCTCTCCCAAAGGCCACCCCAGCTTGGCACAGGAAGCAGCAGACCCACACCTGCAGGTCACCTCTAACAAACCACAACAACTTCATGGGATCATGGAATGGTTTGGGCTGGAAAGACTCTTAAGAGATCACTTAGTTCCAGCCCCTGCCATGGGCAGGGACACCTTCCACTAAACCAGGTTACTCCAAGCCCTGTACAACCTTTAATTCCCAACACCACATCCTCTTTCCAAGCCCTTTTCTCCTCCACTTCCACATCCTGCAGAGCAAAACCCCGGCACCTTTCATGTCCTCTTAAGCTCTCAAACAATCCCAACTAGCTTTTCCCTTGGTTTGTGGGGTGTTTCTACACTCCCTCTCTCACTCCAGGGATGCTTTGCCGCCCGCCCCATGTTTCAGGGTGATTTTTGGGGTGCTGCTCACCTGAATGAAGGGGTTGCTCCAGATCTGGATGCTCTCAGTCACATTTAAACTGCGCAGCAGGAGGTTGCTGACAATATTCATCAGAACTGGCAGGGAATGCACCATGGTGCTGTTGAATATGACAGCGAAAACGTAATTCTAGAAGAAAAGTACGTGCTGTATTAATTCTTCTGCACGAAGGGCAATTCCCTGAGAGGGCTCTCCTTAATTAAACCTGAGCATTGGGAAAAATCTTTGCATAATTGAGTCTGCTTCGCAGGAAGCTCTGGGCTGCTCAGAGTGGTTGTAACACATAACCTAATTCAGGAAAACAGTCATGTTCACAAAGAGAACAAATTATTTGGAATAAATTCCCAGCATGTTTTATGGAACAGTGACACTATGACAAATGACACTCCAGGCAATTACAGCCTGAAAAAACAAAACACACAAGGACCCACACTCGGATGTTCTCGCTAATGGATTTAAAAACCAGACAGGCAAAAATTTACAGGAGCTGAGGGGCTGCACTGGCACACTGATGGGAGCAGTGTCAATGAGCAAAAATGGGAACAAGAGCCAGAGCTGGCAGACTGCAAAGCAGTTCCTCTGCTGGGGATTAAATACAACCCCAAAGCTCACATCTTCCCGACAGCCCCTCAGTGACCATACGGAAAAGAACATGTACAATCCATGAAACTCGTTTTTCTTTACACATGAGAGCACCACAGAATTGTACTTCTGTCAGATTGTGTAATTCAGTCAGTACAAGGAAAAGGAAAAAAAAAAAAAGATGAAAGAATTCCTGTGTCAGGTCCCTTGTGAAATAAAACATTTCTCTTGGCTTTTTGTGTCATTTTGGGGAAGAAAGGAGGACGGAAGTTTGATTGGCCTACTGTAATTATAATTATGGAAGAACATTCATTTTGCTAATATTTCCATTCTGTTAATACAAGTCCTCATTTCAGGCCTTTTGTATAAGGAATACCATGTAATATTACTTGATTCTCTGACTCAATAGCTGCTTTTCAGGTAAGAGTATCACAAACCAGCCCCCAGCAGCTGCCTGGGGGCTCTTTGGGGCACAACCCAGCCAGTCTGTCCATCTCACCTGCCTGGACTGAAGGGCAAACACGTTTAAAGCTGCACTGTGAGGTGCAGCTGAGACATAATCACTGTCATTGAACATCTCCAGGAGTATGTTCATGCTCCCAAGGGAGTGGACAATGTCATTGATATCCGATTCTGGGGAGAACAGAGAAAACACAGAATCACTAAAGTTGGAAAAGAGCTTAAACATCAAGTCCAATCATTAATCCAGCACTGCCAAGCCCACCACTAAACCATGTCCCTGAGTGCCACATCTCCACGACTTTGAAATCCCTCCTTATCACCAGCTTGTAGTATTTTACACAAAATTATTGATGCATTTTCTCACTGATATAACCCCATGAAAGATCACTGTTTCCTTTCACTCATGCCCACCAGAGAGTCCTCTGCTGTTCTGAACAACACAGATTATTTTATTTTGGTTTCCCACTCAACAGCCTCCAAAGAACTCAGGAAAAATTTTTTTGTTATGTTCTCCAATTAGTTTGTGCAACTCAAGTGCAGCAGTGAGGGAGCAGAGCTGCCAACAAGCATTATCAGGATATTCAAGGTTTGAGTTGAACAGTGAATTAGCAAAAACAAACAAAAAAAAAAAAGGCAGAAAAAGTAAATTGTATTAAGTACAAATTCCCCAAAGCTGGAACAAATGCTCCTTTCCATTGCCTGGATTACTGCTGTGCACTTTTAAAACATCTGAAGTTGAAACAAAAAGCAAATTTTTTTAAAGTGTTTTATAGCAGGATTTTAATGCTGATTATCTAAACCTCTCTGGCCAGTTCCCTCATATGGATCATCCTCTGACACAGCAAGAAAAAGGTTACTGGACATGGCAGGAGGAGGAAGATCTGTGAACTAAACCCTATGGCACAAATGATATTCACTCTTTATCATCTCTGGTTATTTGGAAACTGTTCATCTGGGTTAACTTCCAGGAAAATTTTGTCCCCAATCCCAAAAGTAGCTACACTGAAGAGAGAGGTGGAGACAGGAGCTGCTCCCCTACCTGTGGAGTTCTGCAGCAGGAGCCGACTCCTGTACTTGTGATAGTTCTCTCCAGGCTTCAGCAAGTACAAATCTGGGGAAAGTTTGATAGCAGCTACAGAATTTTTGATGATGTGGTGTATGAAAAACAATAAAATCTGAACGACAAGAAATATCAGAAAAAGCAACAACCTGAAAAGAAATAAAAAGGTTGGGGTTCATTAAAATCCAGCAAAAGCCAGCCAAGTTTATGTGCATGTTATTAAAACATCTCCCTCACCCCCCAAAAGAGAATGTATTCAACAGAAATGACAGCTTCATATTTACATTTAAAACACAGTAAGTATGTGAAAAAAATTAATCAAATCCTGCCCTTTCTCTGGTGTCATTCAAACAGGTTTTAAGACTTCTGTATCTCAATACTTACATAACTCTCACACATTTATTTTCCCTCTTCAGGGTAAGGAAATGCACTTTGGCTATGGTGGAAACCTGCTTCTTCCACAGGGCTGTGTTGCTCATGGCTGGAGCCTTTGTCTCTGACAGCATCAGCAGGCTCTGCTCCATGTCATCCAAGGATTTGTTATCCACCTCCTCCTGCACTTGCTGGGAATGGAACACGCTGTAATCTGAAAAAGGGGAGAGGAGAACTCTGCAGAGTCAATGCTCTGACAGAGCTATAGGGTTGAAATGGGAGAGGTGGAGGAGCCAGGTGGCCCTTCCTACTGAAGAATTCATCTCATCCTATCCCATCCCACCCCATCCCAGCCCAATTTCTCAACTTAATCCCAAGGTCACTGACACTGATCCACCCCCATCACACACATGGCACATACTTAAGGCAGATGACAAATTTTTGCCACTCAAAAGGTGCAGACTTGCCCCAATTTCATACCACTGGCCTGTGTATGCACCTGTATTATTCAGAACCAGCATATTCAGCTGTTAAATCCTCCCACACTCACACAAACTTTGTGGAGCAGGGTAGTAATTCTACTTACTTAGTAAGTTTATATATCAGTATACTATATATACACCATAGAGTATATATACTTACTTATACTAGTAAGTCTGTATCACACAGAAAGCTTTAGAGTTATGAAAATAGCTTAAACGATTAAAGTTAACATAAAAAAAAGAATTTATTAATTCTGGAATAATATTAAGCCTATTCAGCTTATCATTTGAATTGAAAGTTAATTTCAAAGGAGGAGAATTGAGACAAGTTGAGCTGCTCCAGCCTTAAGTGCAGCCACTAATGTTGCAGAAAGTTGGAAATTAATTTCACGCTGTGCATTTATAAATTCTTGAAAGCAAAAAGTCCATTAGGAAAATAAAGGACATTTTAAAAAAGCAAGCCATTAAATGTGTGGCTGTAAAGCAGAGGAGTCAGATGTAAGTGTGCTGGATGAAAAATTAATAAGTGAAAAGCTTTTCCCCTGGATCCTCCCAGAACCACCTCCTGCCCAATTCACTGCTTTTTCCCCGTTTTCACATTAAATATTTCAACAGCCTGGAATGTTACCAGGCCAAAGGAGCCCCACCTTGTTGCAGCACCTTGGGAGAGGAGTTGTTACTCTTACCTCCTGCTGGCAGTGACAATTCCACACTAACTGAGACTAAAACAAACATGAGGGAAAACAAGAGAACATTCCTGGCCCACCCCACCTGCTTGGTCGATCTCTGCCTCGACTTCCAGTTTCAGGTAGACGTCCTCCAGCGTGGTCATGGACACGCCGTAGGTGATAACACCCAGGTGGGAGTGGGTGTCCAGGTCAGAAAACAAGCCTGGGGACAGACATGACACATAACAACTCTGCAGCTGTGCTCCACCACCTCCTGAGAGAGCTCCAAGCACATCAGACACATCCCTAAAGCCTCGGAAAAAGCACTAACACACAAATATCAATGTTTAAAGATGAAGACGCAGGTCATGGCTTGAGAATCAAGGTTGGGATAAGCTCCTTTTAGCACCAAACTTCAATCTCTGTGATCAGGGAAACGTGGCAGGTTTTCCTGAAGCTGTGGTGTTGATGAAACCACCTCAGCATCCTAAAGCTCTTGGGCTGAGAGCTGCCTCTGGGCAGCTTCAGGAGCCCCTCTCCTGGTAGCATCACACCCAGGGTCTGCAGGACAGGTCATCCTACCTAAATCCCTGCCCAGGCACAAAGGGATTTTACAAATAAAACCACTGAGTAATTGGATATCTATATAAGATACGTACTTTTATGCATATAAAAAGAATTCCCAGATGTGTAAAGCAAGGTTAACTGGGCAGGATATCCTGGACAGCAAGCAGAGCTTGAGGACCAACAAGAGGTTCAGAGAGAGCACTAATTAATACCCTTGGATAAAAATGCTATTGGGCTCTTGTTAGTCCTATAAAATAAAGGACCTAAAATGAGGAGCTTAGAGCCAGGGTCAGGCTGAAGGGAAATGCTAATGTATAAAATGGGAAGAGCAGCTGGATCCCTGATGCTGCTGCTCTAATCTCTGCAATTTCTTCTGCCCCACTGACCAAGGCACATTCCCAACCTTGGCTTCTCCTTGCAACAGTTTGGGGGAATTGATTCCATCTTACATAAAAGGTGCCCGTTTTCAAAAGTACACGATGTGGCTGCTAAAGGCAAGGCTAATAAATTATTAACTCAAATGCAGCAGGGGAAAAAAAACCACTTATGAAATATCAGCTGCATATTCCCATTGGTGTTGATTCTCCCTTCGCTTTCCACATGGCACAGAGGACACAATGTTTATTCCATTCATTTCTGGGAGGTGAACAAGGAGCTCTGCACAGGACTGATCAGATAATTGCTGCCATCTAGTGAAATCCTCACATCTGCTCCATGCTCCCTCTCACCACTGAATTTTAAGGCAGTGACACAGACAGCATTACTGGTTTAGAGGTTATCATTTTACTGTCTTTCACAGATTGCTTTTGAGTGTGATGATGCTCTTTGCAGCTCACACAAGGGTTGTTGATTTTTGTAGGATTTGGGGCTTGCTGGATTCCCACTGGAGGTCTGCCTGGCCCATTAAAACCCTCTGCAACAAGATGATGCTTCTGCAGGACAAAGGGATGGTTGGGTGAAAGGGTCTCTTCACCACAGAGGCATCAGCCCAGCACTTGCTGTCAGGTACCCACATCCCTCTGACACACCACAGCCTCCCTGGAGGAGGCAACAAGGTCCTCACTCACCTGAGAAAGACCTCACTGACTCACCATCAGCCAAATAATAACATATATAATCACAGGTAACTGCAGAATTGACACCTTACCAAGAGGTGCAGCTACAGCCACGCCTGATGGAATTCCCCTCTGCAGCCACTCATCCCTGCAGCACAAAACCACACCAATACCTGCAAATTTGTCCACGTCCTTGAGGGGGAGGGTGTACACGAGCTGCTCATCGTTCTCCTGGATCAGGGTGGCTGCAGGGATGTGCTGCCTGATCAGAGAGGTCGTAGCTTCCGTGTTGCAATAGGCATCGATGTGCATGCTAAAAACACAGCCCCAGAAACTGGGGGGTTAAAGCCTGACCTTCTCCTGACACTGCACCACAACAATCAGCCAGCAGCGCACCACAGTCACCAAACACTCAATTTTATCGTTCAAGATGATAAAAGGGTTTTTTTTTTGGTGGGGAGGGGGGCAGAGGGTGCTATCTTAGAGATTGCAATAGAAAACAATGAAAAAAAAAAAAACAAACTGATGGCACATAAATACCACAAAACACTTACCTCAAGCGGTAGCCAATTCCCCACTTGCTTTTGAGAAAGAGAGAAGATCCGAGGCACTTCAACATCCCTTGAGAAATCACAGCTTTACGATCTAGAAACAGAAGTCAAGAAGGCCCCTTTGAAGTAGAAGATTGAGAATCTCCCCCAAAACTCAATGACAAACTTCAAACAAACGTGCATTCCGTGGTTTGGCACCCCAGGCTGGCACCCAGGGTGGCAGAAGATCTCACCAGCCAGGATATCTGCCTCGTCCATGAAGTGGGTGCTGAACACGGTCACACAATTGGCTTTCCTGTTTTTCAGGAGGTTCCAGACGATGTGCCGTGAGCAGGGATCCATCCCGGCCGTGGGCTCGTCCAGCAGCAAAACCTTGGGGCAAAACCAAGAGTGTTTTCAAAGCCACATCCATGTGCACTGACCTCAGGAATCCCTACAGATCCAGGGGGTTTTGTCTGAAGCCTGTTAGTTATTCCTCTAAAACACATAAGGAACATCCCAGACTAAGTAATGCAGCTGCTGCCACTACACTTTGAATAAATCCATCTCCTGTTGTGACAAATGGAAAAATCCTATAATAACTTAATGCCATAGCCTGTTCTATTCTGGTTCTAACACAATTACATATTAGAATTAACAATTTAGCTGTGGATTCACTTTTTCTCCTAAGGGGTGGTTAAATACACACACCTGCTTTTAAAACCCCCAGGAACTGTCACACACATCATTTTTAAATACAGATCTCAAAGCAATCCCCATCCTCACAGGCCAGAAATTACAGAGCTGGAACACAAAAGAGCTCTCTGGCTCCATTCCTGCTCCTGGATGGCTTTGTGAGGAAAGTATCCAACAATTTGACTGTTGGGGGCTAAATGTTACCTGCCAGAAGTTACAGAAAACTAGTCACACTGTTTATTTCCCAAAGAGATCAAATCCAGAGTTACTGCCATTACCTGAACCTTTAACAGCCTTGAGCACAAAGGTTGAGTCATTAAAGTGATTTTAATTAAGCCACAAATGAAGAAAAAAAAAAAAAAAAAGGAGCAACAGATGCTGAGAGTAACAATTACTGCATCTTACATATTATTATATATATGAATTAGTTTAGACAAGAGACACCAAACCATCAATGTATCAGTGATGCCAAGCTGGGAACAACTCCATCACTCTCACCTTGGGGTTCCCAAGAACAGCAACTCCCACTGACAGCCTCCTCTTCTGCCCCCCACTTAGTTTTTTAGCTTGATTGTCCCTGATGGGCTGCATCTCCAAATCCAGCAACACCTTCTGCACCTTGAAAACACAAGAAACACATTTACTGTCTTAAAAAAAAATAAATCTGTAAAGTGTTTTTAAACCAGATTATGAACAATTAACATTCAAATTAACTGCTGCTAATTCCCAGTTTATTCTGTATGTGAACTGCACAACCTGTGCATACAAAGTTTAAAGGTGCCATTGCTTGAACCCAAATGCCAGGATTTAAAGTTTTGCCATGAACATTTTAATCTCCTAGGAAAAATTAACAGTTTATCTTTGCAAAAATATCTGTACCTCTTGTCTACTGTACCATAAAATATTTCCCTCCACACTTGTCTAAAAGGATATTTTGATTTACAGGTTAGAAGTGAACACATAAGACAATACCTGTGCCCAGGTGACTTACTTCTTGTATCAAATCATTCTGAGGGATTCCCTTAATGGCAGCAAAGAGGGAGAGATTCTCCTCCACAGTTAAAATGTCAAAGTGGATGTCAGACTGAGGGCACACCCCCGTCATCTGCCGCACTTCCAGCATCTCATCGATCTCGGAGACTTTGTGCCCATAGACAGAGACAAACCCTAAAACAGGAATTAAAACAAATCCAGGAGCAATCAAGGAAGAAGGTCTTTACAGCCAGAGAGCAGGTGAATGTGGCTGTGAATTGAAGGTGAACTTTAGGAGACCTTATAGGGTCTGAGGGGGCATTACAGGAAGGCTGGAGAGGGACTTTTCACAAGGGCAGGGAGTGACAGGACAAGGGGGAAAGACCTTAAGATGAAGGAGGGCAGGGATAGATTAGATATTAGAAAAAAAATCTTTATTATAAGGATAGTGAAGCACTGGCACAGGTTGTCCAGAGAGGTTGTTGACTCCCCATCCCTGGAAGTGCTCAAGGCCAGGTTGGATGGGGCTTGGAGCAACCTGGGCTAGTTGGAAGCTGTCCCTGCCCAAGGCAGGGGGTTGGAATGAGATGAGCTTTAAGGCCCCTGCCAACCCAAACCACCCAGTGATTCTGTGATTCTGTTTCAAAGTTTGGTGCACCCTGAAACAATGATTATGAGCTTTGGTTTTGAAAGCAGGGCACCCAAAAGCCCTGAGGACTCACCATCCGTGGGTGGGCACAGCCCACAGAGGATGTTCATCAGCGTCGTCTTCCCGGTGCCGCTGTGCCCCAGCAGAGCCGTGATCTGACCCTCGTAGATGTCAAAGGACAAATCTGGTCCCCGGGGCAGAGGAAGAGGAGATGTCAGGGATGTGCTCCTGGCACCTGGAGCCAGCTCCCAAGGCAGAGGTAAATTCAAATACTAACATATGGGGTATGCATTCACACTCTGCTGGGGGCACACCTTACCTCCATGGCTGGGCATGGGATAGGCCCTGCACCCACATCTAAAAGCCACACAGGGAAACAAGATGAAAATATCAGGGAGAAGGGGCAGGGAAGATCATATCACCACAAGGGCAGAGGAGGAATAACAGGGATGATACCAGTAGGCTTTCCTTAGTGATAAGGGTTCACTTCTTGGGGTACTGTCCTAAAGAAGATTACTGCCCAAGCTGTGAGAGAATACACACACAGGCACATCTGGCATTCACACTCCAAGGTCCCACCCCTCTAAAAGAAACCAAAAAGCCTGAACTGAAACACAAAAGATCACTCAGCAATTCAGCTATTGCTCCTCTGCATCTGACAAGCAGCTAAAAAGCTAAAATGTTCTTACTTCTGAGAGCCTCCACAGTTTCCCCCTTTTTCCTGAATGTTTTCTGAACACAGCTGATTCTGAAAGAAGACATGTCATTGTATAAACTGTTTCAGGATCTTTGTATGTCATTTTGAATGATCAATACTTGGCAACAGTCACAACAAGATGATCAGATCAAAGTGGCACCAAACACGTTCAAAACCCATCAAGGCATGTCAAGAGACAGGACATCTTGATGAGCTCTGCCCATCTCCACCCTGGCATCAGAAAGCTTTTTCTGATCACCTTCTAAGGTATTTCCTCTGTTGACAACTTGAATTATTTAAAATCTGTGTCTCTTTCACATGGTAGAACAACGCACTAGAGGTTTCTCAAGGTAGAAAAGGGAACAGCTACTCCCCAGTGGTTGCACAATACCACAAAAGACTCCACAGATATGATATAGAAAAGAGGTATTAGTAGAACAGACTCCAAAGATGTGATTACTGACAGCTCCTCATCAAAATTAGGTAAAAGAAAGCAGGTATCTTTCTCCCCAAGAAAGGTAAAAACCTTCCTTCCAGCCCCACTGGTTTCCCAAATGAGAAAAACCTGAAGGCACCCATCCTTCAGGATGGGCTTTGGAAGCCTGGCTGCCCTGGAAATGAGGATGGGAGTGGGTTATGGCTGAGAAGCAGGGAGGAGAACTGGGTATGAAAGAAAAGAAAACCTGCACATGTAAAGATGACAAGATAGTGTGAAAATTCTAGAGAGCTGCTGAAGGGATGATATGGGAAGAGTCCAGGCTGGATGGACTTAATGCAACAATGGCCACAACATTCTTATGTGAATATCAGGATTAAAACCAGACCCTTGAACCCATGGCAGGTGCCCAAAGAGACATGGATGGTGTGAACAAGACTCATTCTGGTCACTGAACTCAAATATTTATTTGAGACTAGTGGAGCCAACCAGGAGTGAAGATGCAGAGCTCCCCATCTCCCATCAGGCTATGCCACTGGAAAATGATGGCAAGAAGGGCTCGAAGGAAGACATTGAAAATAACATCTGAGAAACACCACAAAGCAGTGACAGTCCAGGTGCAAGACAGCAGGTGACACACAGCACAGCACGAAAGATGAGAGTGGGGACATCCATTTCTCAGTTTCCTTTTACACTCTCGTATGTGGCAGCTGGGTAAAACCACCATCAAGTTCCCCTCTGGTCTGTGGAGAACAGCACAGCCTTCACACAACCCTAGAATTCGGCCTTTTGTCCTAAAATATGCGTTACCAGAAACTAAACCCTCCCAGCAGAGCAGACGCTCCAACATCTGCAACCGCTTACGCCGCCCGTGGCCTCAGTGAAACGGAGGGAACGGAAAACCAGCCGGGCTGGAGAGGACTCCAACCAAAGGAAAACCATCCACAAACAAACCCTCCCTTTAAGCCCAGCGATTTACCCTTGGAGAGCATCCACTGATGCTGGGGATTGACCGGGAAGGAGCCGTGCTGGGCCCTCTGCAATGCATACCATATGCTATTTGAATCCAACGGGCGCAGGACTGAGAGGGGATTTTCAAATCTCACGTTAAAAAAAAAATTCCCGGGGAACCCAGGTGATCTGCTCATCTGTACCTGATGGCTTCTTTCCCCTGGAATTCCGAGGGCACGGGCTCCACGATCTCGCTGAAGCTCAAGCTGCCGTTGATGCTGCTCTCGTACAGCTCCTTGTAATTCTTCCTGTGCTTGGACCAAAACGAGGGTTTCATGAAGAACAGCGGGGTGCGGCGCAGCCCGAACTCCCCTGGAGAACACAGGGAAAACCCACAGCTTCCCATCAGATATTCCTCAGCTTTTGGGTTTTAGCTCCAAAAGCCACGAGCTCTCCCGTGAGAGGTCCATGAACCACCCTGCACCTCTGTTCCAGAGGGGTTTCTTCATAGAATCACAGAATCAGCTGGGTTGGAAGGGACCTTCGAGATCATCAAGTCCAACCCTTGATCCAACCCCGCTGTGGTTGCTAGACCATGGCACTGATGCCACATCCAGTCTCTTTTTAAAAATCTCCAGGGACGGAGAATCCACCACTTCCCTGGGCAGCCCATTCCCATGTCTGATTATCCTCTGTGTAAAGAAATTCTTTCTAATATCCAACCTAAACCTCCCCTGGCACAGCTGAAGACCCAGCCCTCTTGTCTTACTGATGGTTGCCTGGGAAAAGAGACCAACCCCTGGCTGGCTCCCCCCTCCTGTCAGGGAGTTGCAGAGAGTGAGGAGGTCTCCCCTGAGCCTCCTCTTCTCCAGGCTGAACAGCCCCAGCTCCCTCAGCCTCTCCTCATAGGACTTGTGCTTGAGTCCCTTCACCAGCCTAGTTGCCCTCCTCTGGACCTGCTCCAGGACCTCAGTATCCTTCAGCAGAGTTTAACCATCTGCACTTAAGCCACCGCTCCCATCAACACTGCTGGCAGGCTCCAGGTTGGCCAGGAGTTTAAATACATGTGCAAATCTCCTTCTGTGCAAGAAAAATCCCCAGGACTGAAAAAATGGTGACTTAAACACAGTAATGCAAATCCAGAGGGATCAGAGGTGAACGGAGCTGAGGGGCTTAACCAGGATTTAGTCGTAAGATTAACAACTTTATTCTATGTTTCATGTTAAAGTACTTCTGTCACAGGGAAAGATCTGGAACAGGGAGAGGAGTCTTTGATTTTCAACCCTCAAAGAGCAAATTTTAAAGGCTGAAGCGTTCATTAGCCCAGTAAGGAAGTTTTTCCTCTAGAAAGAGGGAAAAATTTCGCTTTTTAGGGCCAGCAATTCTCAACATGCCAAAACCCCTCCTCACATCTCACAACTTTAACAGAATATAAATTATTTCAGCTAAAAGTATTCTGAGTCACAGCATAAAAAAAAATCTATCTGCAAACAGCATCACCTCCTTTCTCCATAACTGAATTTAAGGGAGAGGTGCCACCAGCCTGGGGGGGCTCAGGACTGCAGGAATTGGTGATCCTTGCACAGTTCAGCTCTTGGGAACATACCTGGGATAACCTGGTCCAGGTACACAGCTACAAGCAGGTAAAAGATGCTGTCCAGCACCAACAAAATAAGAGAGATACAGAGCGGGTAAGGACCATCGTTTATATTTGCAAATGTTGCCCCATCTTCATAATCTTCCAGATGCATGACCTGCACAGGGAGAGGGAGATGTTACACACCAGCACTGGGCCAGCCTGAAAGACAGGACAGCACAGGGCAAACTTGGCAAAAGAAACAAAAATAATGAGGAAGTGACTGAGATCTCAGCAACAAACACCAAGAATAACAGCTCCTTGATGGGGCTGGATATCAAACTCCCAGGGGAAGTTATTAAAACAAGTGTTTTCCCCCACCATCATCAGTTTATTAGAAATAAAATAACTGTTTAAGAGTATCTCCATCAAGATCTATTTGAAAATGATCCATGACAAGGGGATGACGAGGAGCTGGTGGTTCTTTACCTGCGCGACACCGATCAAGAAGCTGCACTGACACAAAGGGCTGAGAAACCACACGAAAGATTTGGGAAAATCCTCCAGCAGGACAATGTTCAGGCCCACAAACCCAAAAGCCAGTGTGGCCAAGAACTCCACTATACCCACGTGCTTTGACTTTTTAAATAGAGGTGTCAGCATAAGGGCGAAGAAAACCTGAGGGCAAAAAACAGAGAGGAAGGTGCTGTTTTAAAACTAATAATACAGGTATAGAGAAACCAAGGTGAAATGCCATTTTGCCTCTTGATATCATTTTCCTGGTATAGGCATGACAGCATTCACCCCCACAGAATTATGGAATCATTTTGTGTGGAAAAGACCTTTCAGATCCACTGCTTCCCCAGCACTGCCAAGGCCACCACTGAAACATGTCCTTAAGTGCCACACCCACACATCTTTTATATCCCTCCAGAGCATCAGGAGGGACAGATTCCCCAGAGATGCCAGGAGACAGAGCACAGAAAATAATGATGGCTCCTAATTTTTCTTTTATAGAGCTGAGTGTGCACCTCCACCCTGGTGAGTGTCCCTTCTGCCAGTGACAGCAAACAAATACCTACTTGGGCACTGGCTGCTTATAAACTCAGACAGGCTATATAAATATATTTATAACATATTCTAATATAATTCTCTGAGTTTTAATTAGGCTTTTAGCATTACACTATATAGTAACAACAAATGTTTTGAAGAGGATGTGGGTTGGGACTGCAAAATGGTTCTGTACAGTGTTTTCAGCTCAAAAGACTGATTATTTTAAACCCAGATATTTCAGTAGGGAAATGGCTTTCCCATAGTGATGGGTGACACCTGTAGAACATCCTGAACTGGAGAAGAGCCAAGGAAGGGGATGGGACAGGTCAGACACCCAGCACTGTTTGGTCCTAAAGCTTGTTGCTTTAGGAGAGAGAACAAGAACAGGTGGGAAAGGAACAAAACCCACAGGGATGGGGTGGCTGAATTTAACAAGACCAGGAATACTTACTGAGGAGACTCCATACAGGAAAAAAAGGAGAAATATCACAAAGGCACTGCTCTGGGGAAAGAGGGAGGAGGCCGTGGCGATCACTGCCATGAGAATGGACATGACAAAAATCAGGCTCACGTAGAGCAGCACCCAGGAAAGCCTAGGAACAAAGGGGGGGAAAGAACAGAAACCAGGCAATGAATCCCCAGCCTGAACCGGCCACACAAATAGCTGAACCCACCATTCTTTAATATTCCAGACAGCTGCACCAAAGGCCAAGCTTGGAACAAAACAAGAGCCCCCAAATAAAAGAGCTCTTGTAAACACCCCTGGAATTGTTCTTGGCACTAGAGCACACACAGATACCCACAGCAGCTAAAGACACACAATTAGATGATTCACTATTATTTTTTTTTTTTTAAACTTGCATAGTTAATTCCCTGGTATAACTGAAAGAGAGTAACAGAGTCCTAGGTTTCAATAATTCAAGAAATTCTATTTAAAATTTAATCCACTAGTCATTCCAGTCGCCGGGCAGGGTAATAAAATCCTTTCCTTCTGAAAAGCAGAGCTGTGAGCAACTCTGACCTCAGGAAGCAAGGGTGGTTTGTGTACAGGTAGTAAAAAAAATGACACATTTCCTCAGAAGTAGAGAAAAAAAAAATCATTCCAACAAGCTCAGGTGGCTGTTTCAGTGCAGTGGGGACAGATGTGAAAACGCTGCAGGAAAGGGCAAAGACAGACCTGGTTTTATCTCCTCAGCTATCAGTGATTTCAAATTAGCACATCCTCTCACGTGGGGAAAAAATAAAACATTGTATTGCACAGGACAATTTCCATGACGGTAAGGAAACAAATTAAAACCTGTTGCTTTGACTACTCTGTCTTGTTAAAATTACAGAGTTGGATTCATTTAATTACTTGTCAGGGAAACTGCTGCTAAGCTCTGAACAGACTGCAGGTTACCTCTTGAGCCTCTAGGAAAGGAGGTACTGAGCCAAAAATATTTAAAGAGAATGAAAAACCTACATAAAAATCTCACACATCATCAGATTTGATCCCTCTAAGTCTGGCACAGCTTTACATGCATAACTGCAACAGTTATTACTCTGGTGTTTACTTACTAAAATATTCATATTTTCATGATACTGCAAGTGTCTCTATCTTTGATTTTACAGAATATTTCCCTTTCTGGTTGTTTTCAGTTAATCAGACTGAAAATAATTTTAAAAATGAAGGATGGAGGAGTTTTCCTAGAAAGTGGGTTTTTTTTAAATAATTATTTATATATATATAATTCTACCATAAAGAACAAGTTATACTAAACACTCACATACCAGAAGGCAGTGTCATGGAGTCCCAATATTTTCAGGAATTCCTTCAACTTCCTCTCCTTTTCTGCCACAATATGAATTGCCAAATAATACCCAAACGGGGAGAAGGCGATCACCAGGTAAATTAAAATGATTGCACGGGGGAAATTATCTATTTCCACCACAGCAGCCTCTCCCATAACCACTGCTCTCGTCAGTTCAAGCTGTTCCCAAACCGACTGATTCGTCTTCAGCTGAAAGGAAGAGAAGGAAGAGTTATTTTGGGATTGCTCCTGATTTTTCAGCCTCATCCCAGACTCCAGCTCAGCTTCATCTCCATACCCGCTGGCAGGGAGGGATCTGAAGACCCCAAATCCCAATCCAAAAGCAGGAAAACTGGAGAATATCTGAACACCTGGAGACAAAATTAGCAAATGTGAGATTTCTAGCCCTTGAAAAGATGAAATTTGCTCCCTCCACGAGCAGGATGAGGGGAGGGGAATTGGGAAAAATTGCTGGTCAACACTGACACCAAAATAAGGCAAATTCTGCAGCCCTTTTAGGACAGCACCTGAAATGGCATTTTGGGGTGAGCACTGTGAGCCTTTGTGTTTTGAGGACTGTTGTGATGGGTGTTCAGGCTCATTTGGATGCAGTTAGAGACAAACATCCACATTATTCAGCCCAACGAGAGCAATTCCGCACAAAATACAGCAAAGCACAGCCAAAACATTCTGCCTTCTCATCAGGGTCCAGATGACTTCGGAGATGGCCTTTCCCACAACTAACAGCCAACATCAGACAAGCAGCCAGAGCCAAGGCAGCCCCTGGAGCTGACCTTCCCTGGGTTTATGATGGTTTTTTCCAGTTACCTGTATAATGGCAGCATCAATGCAGGCCTGGAGCGCCGTGAATCCTGAGCTCCAGTAGGTCACTGACTCACAGCCCTTCCCCAGGTTGGAGCAGCTGGCTGCAGAATAAAGCAGGGAATGATGATCCATAAAGTCCCCTTCAGCCCAGGCCACTCTAAGATTCCCTGGTTCTGTGTTAAAACGCCAAAAACCAGAGTGACACCTGCCCTGTCCCCAGCGCGCAGCTCGAGGCCACCCCCGGCAGTGCTGCAAACAACCTCCATAAATCAATATATGGAACACCAGGCCTGAAAACAAAAATAGAAAATGATTTTCCAGTTTATCCCCTTGCAGAGCACATGTGAGAGAGCTCACGTTTACCTCTGGATTCCGTATAAATGGAGGACATGGCGATGGAGTCGTGGAACCTCAGCTGGTAGGACATGGAATCCTTGAACACGACCCCCACGAAGTTGGAGGGTTTGACAGCACTGGCCTCTTGCAGCTCCTCCTCACTTAAATACTCCTCAGTGATGATGCCTGAGAGATATTAAGAAATTATCATGTTGATTTAGGTACTGGCACAGCAGGGAGAAAAAAAATGTGCAACGGTTTTGAAGTATCTTGTTAATCATCAATCATTTGAGTTTGGAGATATATAAATGTATATATGTATGACAGGACAAGGGGGAATGGTTCAAACCGACAGGGAGTAGGTTTAGAATAGATTTTAGGAAGGAATTCTTCCCTGTGAGGGTGGGGAGGCCCTGGCACAGGTTGCCCAGAGAAGCTGTAGATGCTCCATCCCTGGAAGTGTCCAAGTGTCCAGTTCCTCTGAAGCAGGAGGAACACAAAGAGGAGAATCAAAGATATCAAACTAAAAATACATCAGTGGGTTTGGAGAGAGAAGTTTCTGTTACATGTGTGAGGTGTGCAGGCAAAGTGCTAGAGAAAAAAAAAGGAAAAAAAACCAAGGAGAAAACCCCAAACAAATGGAAAAACACAGAGAAATGAAAAACCCAAACAAATAGAAAAATCCAAACGAATGGAAAAACAAATAGGAAAAAACCCAAACAAATGGGGGAAATAAACAAAACCCAGGAAAAACAAACAAGGAAAGCACAAACAAACGGAAGAAAAATAATAAACAGGAAAACCCAAACAAGTGTGGAAAAAAACAAACAAGGAGAAAAAGAGGAAAAAACAAACAGGGGGAAAAAAAACCAATCAGGGGAAAAAAAAAGGCAAAAGAAAAGGAAAATCACTTTCAAGAGAAGAGGTGACAAAGTGTTAATGAGAATAAGCATTTAAAAAACATTAAAAATGTTGTTTTCATAGTGACACCAGGATAGAAAACACAACCTGGGACAGCACCACCTCCTGAGTTTGCCCCAGGGTGTGACAGGACAGGTGTCAATCAGCCCTAGAGTTGCTCAGGGGCTTTTTGTACCCAAACCTTTCCCTGCAGCCACACAACACTTTGGCTGCACCAAGAGAATGGGAATCACTTCGAGATGGCAGTGCCAGAACATTTGTCACTTAAGGAAAAACAACAAAAAAAACCCCCCACCAACGCCTTCACTTGGATGGAAAATAAATGGATTTTTCCTACTAGCAGCACCCGTGAGCTCCCTCTCCAAACACAAGTCACAGAACGGGATTTAGGGAGAAAAATGCAACGTTTAGGGTGTGAATACCATCTTCAAAGTTATCAGAAGCCACTTTCTTCATGATTTCTCGTGCCATGCGGGTGGGTGGCGTGTACCCAATGACGAAGTTCACCAGCTGGGAGGTGTCCAGGGTGCCCAGGTCGGCGTTGGGCACCTCGTCGTACTTCCTGTGCGGGTGCATCATACTCATCAGGATGAGCCAAAACAGGAAAAACAGGGGGAAAAGGACCTCCTGCACAAAGGAAAAAAATGAGCATTTCAAAGAGCAGCCGTGGAAATAAAACCTTCCCCAGGTTTCTCCTGCACGAAGCTCAAAGGAGGGACCGTGAGCTCAGTTTCTTGGCTGTGAAATTCCCTTGATGTTTTCAATGCAACAGCAACTTTGATGCCAGATCCTTCCCTGGCGCTGAAGCAGGATTTTAATCACCTGCATTAGTAACCTAAGAAGCCATTTGAAGGCCCAAAGGGACAATTCTACAAGCTTTAAACGTCTGCAAACTCATGCTCTTTGAGAAGAGGCAAAACACAAGCTGTGAACCACTAAATGAGCCCGGCCAAGCACTGCACTGTCTCTTCTCCTCAACATTCATCCTCAAGTACTATCACGTCACCCACACACAGGGCTGAACTGTTAGAAAAGGTAAAAATCTTTTGAGGAGGTCTCACTCTGCTATTCTGTGTAATTACAGGTGCAAATGCTTGTCAAGGTGCACTAAGATGGCAACACTTAAAGACATTTTAATTACTATTAATTATACTATGTTATAAATATGTATAGATATATACACCACAGTGTATATAGTGTTAATAGGTTAACTAGTTATTAACACATCAACTAATATTTTTATATTGTCTGTATCGATAATTTTATTTTTTCTGTATAAAGTCTTACACATTAGGATACATCTTCAACCAAAGGATCACAAAACATCTTCTGAAAAAGCCTATTTCAACCCAAAATTCAATGCAGACCACGAAGCTTTGTAAACATCACAACAAAACCGAGTGTTGTCTCTGATTTGGGAGTTATTTAAGCACAGAATAACTGTGGATGCACCAGCAGCAGGACCCAAGGACTCCCCCCTTACCTGGACACTGCTTTTCTTAGTCCTTCCCTTAATAAGACAGTTCTTGAACAGGAGAGCTCGGGTTTGTCTCCATACTCCTGCTTCTCTGGGAGCAGCTGGTGCCATTTTTCAAGACTAGTTTGGGAAAAGTAAATAAATCAATATTAAGCGACAATACAATGTAAAAATCCAAAGCCGGGCGGTCGCAGCTTTCGGGGCCTCCTATTTTTACATTTTCGTAGAAGTGTTTTATTTTCAGTTTTTCGTATTCCAAATGCCTTCTGATACATATGCTGGGTGTCTGTTACATGGAGAAATTGGTAATGTTCCTTTAGAGCCGGGGAATCCAGCTGGGAATCCAGGCAGAAGACGCCTTGGGATGCTCCTGAGCCAACCCTCCACCCAAGGGCAGGGCCAGCTCTAGGCGAGCTCGCCAGACTTGACCTAACCTGGGCTTGTTTTTTTCCACATAAACTACAAACCCAAGCATTTCTCTGGGAGCAGAATTCCAGCATCCATGGCAGGAGCCGAGGGCATCCAGCCAGGGCGATGCATCCGAGAGCCAGAGCCAGCTCACCCCGGGCGAGCTGTTCAATTTACCGTGAGTAACCCCCTTCCATCCTGGAGCACGTCCAGCACTGCTTAGTTCCCTTCCCATTACATTTTAACCTTTTCATTAGCCCGGCTGCACGGCACACCAGCGCCCAGGGTAACCTTTTGGAAAGAGGAAAACGCTTAAATCCAATTAAAAAAGGCTTTCCCGGGAGACAGCGGCCTGCACGTACCCGCTGAGGGCCGGCGGGTCGGGGGCCTGGCAGGTTTCTCTCCCCGGTTTTGTCACCACTTTGCTGCCTCAGGTTTGGAGTTATGGGTCGATCCGCATCTCCCGCTGCTTCCTCACCTGGGAACGTTGGAGTATTTCACCTGTGAAGGTGGAACACGACCGTGAGCTGCCCGGCAGGGACAGCAGAGCACCAGCACAGCTCCGTGGCCGCCACCCTTCCAGTCCCACCCACACACCCCCAGCGAACAACTGAGTCACTCCTCGGCTCTTCGGCCAAAACTCAGTGCAGATTTCAGGAATTCATCCATGTTCCAGCCTTTGCAGCCACCAACACTCATTCCAGCGGTGGGTTGATGTTCCCGGTGCCTGCGTGCTCCAGGCAGCTCTGCAGCAGTGGTTGGAAATGACATCACTTTTCTAACTTTTTAACGATCCTAATTAACCTATCGGTAAGTTGCTTTCATAGAATCACAGAATCAGCTGGGTTGGAAGGGACCTCCGAGATCATCAAGTCCAACCCTTGATCCAACACCGCTGTGGTTCCCAGACCATGGCACTGATGCCACATCCAGTCTTATCCTAAAAACCTCCAGGGACAGAGAATCCACCACTTCCCTGGGGAGCCCATTCCAGTGTCCGACCACCCTCTGTGTAAAGAAATTCTTTCTAATATCTAACCTAAACCTCCCCTGGCACAACTTGAGACCGAGCCCTCTTGTCTTGCTGATAGTTGCCTGGGAAAAAGAGACCAACTCCCACCTGGCTACAACCTTCCTTCAGGTAGTTGTAGAGAGTGAGGAGGTCTCCCCTTTAATTAATCACAGGTTGTGTGTCAGGCCTTAAATCACTTTTAGCCAGCACACAGCAAAAAGTTGTCATGAGCAACTTCTGTGAGGACACAGCTTGGGAAAAGTACTAAAACTCTTAAGTTTTGCTAAAGTTAACCTTGATATGCTTCAATGGACAAAGCCCGGGAGAGAGAAAGACGTATTGTTAATATTGGACATTTGGGACACGGATTTATGAACTATAAGGTCCTTTTGCAGAAACCAGAAGATGAAAAGAACTAACAAAGAATTCAGTGTAAGTGCTGAAAGTCCCTACTGGGGAAAAAGATACTAAAAAGACTACAAATGTGGCCTTAATTAGAACAGAAACTGAGAAATTAATAACCAATAGAAGGCAGAATACTAACTAATGAAAGAGAATTCTGTAATTAAGAACCAATGAACTTTAATTTCTTTGTTTGCTAAAAATGTACAAATAGGTGAAAAAGTGATGTGTTGGTGTCTGTGTGGAGGCAGAAGTTTTGTTGGCCACGTACACACCCAGCACTGAAAATAAAAATAACGCCTTGCTTTCTAACACTAAAAAGACAGTGTTAGAGATTCTATTTATCCCAATGATTTTGGAGGTATTTGGCAACAGCAGGACCTGGTTTCTGCGTTATCTGTTAGACACCACATGGCTCAAACTTCCTGCCCTGGCTGTATTTTAATACGGAAATCTATTTTTGGAGCCCAGACAGCATCTCACTAGAGGTTGCTCAGATGTCAGCACCGCCGAGCTGAGCTGGGAGAACTTCAAACACACAAACACCTTACACACAGACAGCACTGAGAGCCTGTGTCTGAGTGCAGGAGGGAGGAGAGAGGGGCTAAAAGGGACCAAACCCCCCCACTCCCAGCTCCCCTGGCTGCATTTTGGGGTCCTCCAGGGAGCAGTGACCCCCTGGCAGCATGAGGACCCACGTGGGCCACAGCTGCCCACTGCTGAAAGAGAAGCCTTGGGAAGGAATCCCACCTCCAGCCCGGAGTGCTGCCCTTAAAGTCACACCAAATCTACTTCAAACGTGAAAATAAAATTTAAAGGGAAAAAAAATAATATTTTGCTTCAAAAAAAAAAAAAAAAAAGAAAAATCCAACCACAAAATGCTTAAGTGCCAACCCGTGATAGTAACTAAGTCCTGCAGGAAAAATGAGTACAACTCCTCCGGATATTTTCGAGGAAGGAACGCTTCACACTGACAGCAGAGTGTTTTCAAAATAATCAAAAGCAGCAGTTATTGCTTACAGGTCATAAAAAACACTGTCTTTCTCCCCTCTGCTCACAGCACGTCCTCCAAGTGCCTGGACTGCCACTGTTTGCTCTCAGGAGCACATTTCAAAAGCACTTAGTAGAGAAGAAGCACGATGGCCTGACACAGCAACCCCTTCCCTCAGCCACACTTCTCTGTTTTAATGAAATCTAAAATTTGGCCAAGATGATTTAATCACATTCAATCACCAGTGCCAGTTACTGTTTCTCTAATTATTTTCTATCCACTTACAAAAACCAAAACACTCCCACATCTTCACTGGAACGCTGCCACGCTTTAATTTACATCACCTAGGTTGGAGGAAGGGTCGTTTTAAGAATGTTAATTAACTTTTCATACTACACCTGCCACCTCCATGTAAGCAACTGAAGCCACATGATAATGAAGGACACTGAAGAAGCATCGCTTGTACAATGAAAAATTGTATTTGGGATAAAAAAGACAACCCCAAATCCTCCGTGAAACTCCAGATGAAGAAAATGAGCACGTAGGCTGAGCAGAAAAAGCTGCCAAGGCATTTAATTGAATAATTCTGGACTAAATGAAAACACTCTGAACCTATGAAATGCTCCCCAAATTTAGCCACAGACTTATGATTTGCACTGACAAGGGAAGCAGGTGACACACAACTGCTTGTGGGCATCTCAATCAAAGCAATCTCAAGGAAATGACTGGGTTTGGGGCTTTAATTCCACATGGGAGATGCCAATGCTTCTTAAATAATGTTCAGCTGATACTTGGGAAGGCTCTCCTCCCTTCCCCAGATTCAGCCTGGCAACGGTCTTTAAAGGTCAGATGATGACTTAGTGCTGCACATCATGTTTTCCTTGTCTTTTAAGCTAAAAAAAAAAAAAGAAAACTGAAAGAAAACCAAACAAGGAGGGTGAGAGCCTCAGCTAATTGAGCCGTGGCTTGAGGAAAAAACAACTTATCAGTGAACAACACCTGCAGAAGGGTCAGAAAATAAGATTATTGATCTTGCTGCAAGAAGACCGCAGCTGAAATGGTACTTAAGCAAAACTCTGATGTGCTCTTTAGTGCTCTTCAATTATTTAAATTGCGAATATAATAATATACAATAATAAAGCGAGATGCTCTATTTATGGATCTCTAAAAACGGGCTGAATTTCCCCCCTTATCTGACCCCCAAGGGGAAGCTCAGCCGTGCCTGGGGCTGCGCAGCCCCGGGGAGCCCCGCAAACGCAAACCGCTTCCCTCCAAACCCATCCTGGTTCCGCTGCGGGGTCAAGGAATGACACGGAGCAGAGCCAGGCCGGGCTGTTCCAGCACAGCTCCCGGTCCCGCAGCATCCCCGAGCATCCTCCCGCATCCCCGAGCATCCTCCCGCATCCCCGAGCATCCTCCCGCATCCCCGAGCATCCTCCCGCATCCCCGCCGCGTCCCAGCCCGTCGCCTCCGGGGGCCCCCGTAGGTCTCGGGGGAAGGACACTCCTTCGGATTTCCATTTCTCCCTTATTTTCCCCAGCCCAAACCCCTTTAAACGTGGTTTTCTCACCATTTTCCGCGCAGCCACGGAACCTCAGCACGGACAGCCCTCACCAGCCCAGCCCGTACTCCGGAGTAATGACGCGCATTTCAGGTGCAGCCCAACTCCTCCTCTTCCTCTCCGCTCCTTCCCCTTCCCGTTTGACCCACCCCGGGCGGGGCCGTTCCCCCCGCCCCGGTCCCGCCTTCCTCCGCAGCGGAGCGGGGTCGGCAGACTCTTGGTACCCTCTGGTATCTCCCCTTACCTCTGGTACCCCTGGGTACCCCCCGTCTGCTCCGCCCGGCGCTCCGAGGGGCCGGACCGCTGTCCCGGGGCGGAGCGGAGCGGGATGGAGCGGGATGGAACGAGATGGAGCGGGATGGAGCGGGGCTCCCCGCCCCCGGCCCCGCATCCCTGCGGCACCCGGGCAGGGCTGCCGTGTCCATCACTAGTGCCGGGACATCCCCCCTCCCTTCTGGTGACCTTCCTCCCCTCACGGGGATACCTCCGCTCCTGGGACCCCCTTTTCCACCCAGGGACCCCCCTACCGAGCACCCTGTCCTCCGGGTGACCCACCCTCCCCGCCCGAGAACTCCCCTCCTGAGGACTCCCCTCCCGAGGACCCCGTTCTCCGGGTGACCCCCGTTTTCCAAGGACTCTCCTCTCGGGATTCCATTCTCCGGGTGACCACCTCTCCCGCGGTCCCCCCATCCCGGTGACACCATCCAATGCGTGACCACCCCTCCCGAGGTCTCCCTTCTCCCGGGGACCCCATTCTCCGGATGACCCCATCCCTTCTGAGCACCCCTTTCCCGGGGACACCCCATCCCGGGGACCCCATCCTCCGGGAGACACCCCTCTCCCCGAGACCCCTTCCTGTCTGGGGACAGGACAGGGACACCCCCACTCTGCCTCCCAGCACAACCTCGTCGAGGAGCAGAGGAAAGGGGCTCAGGGATTTAGGGCTGGGTGGGAGCCACCTCCCTCCATCCAGTAGGTCGCCAGGATTTTATTGCATTACCCAAAAATATAATTAAAACACTGAAAACGCTGCCCTGAATACAAACGCCGAATTCCTGTCATTTACGGGCGGCTGCTGGTTCCCACCGAGTTATTCCCCCTCCGGCCAGTGTCCCTGTCCCCCTCCGGGCGGGCCTGAGTCCGTGACCATCCTTTTGCTGACATTGGGATGTGATCAAACCCACTGCGATGTTAATCACCCTGTTCCCGTCGCCGGGAGCGCAATCCGACGTGCTCGTTTTTCCTAAACGCCTCCTGCGAGCTGCTGGGGAAAGGCTGAGCCCAACATCAACCCCGGCGGTGCCTCCGAGCATCCCGGGTTCTGCCGCAGTCGCTGCATCCAGCGCTCAGGAAAACCCCGCGCGGCTCCTGCTCCGCCTCGGACCGAGCGCTCGGGGGTCCCTGCGGAGGATGGAGGAGGGTTTGGAATTCCTTGTCCGCGGTTGTTTTGTGCACCTGAGGAGCCGCGGGAGCGTCACGCCCGGCTGTGCTGATGCACAGCTCTGTAACCGCAGTGTGGAATCCACGTTTTTCCTTGGAAACAGTCAGGAGACCGTGTCCTCGTCTGGAAGGAAGAATGGAGTCTCGCGGCACGGTTTGAAGTGAGAAGCACTGTTTGCAGGAGTAGGGATCACAGCCATGCACACCTTCACCTCCAGCAGTGATTGGGAATATCCAGGATTCAAGCCCCAGCCTGCTCCCAGAGCCCCCATTAGGCACAAGCACCCTGTGGTGCAGCCCCACAGCAGCACAAATCTCATGGAAACTTCC